GATATTTTGAAATTTATTGCTATTAAATTTCCTTTTTTTGGGTCTTCGTGTAAAATGGGTTCTAAAAGAAGCCTGCCAGTCATAATCGATTTTACTATTTCTTTTTATTCTCGTTGACAAACATTATTAAGACAACACAGATAACCTGGGGCAATAAGTGTCTGTTCTTGAAAAACTACATCGGTACCGTTTTCAGTTTTTAAATGCTATTGAAGAAAACGGGATATTGGCAGCAGAGAAGCGATGAAGCGAATCATACCTCTCGATGCAGTGATAGAGGGGTTACGTAGGTTTTGTTGCGACTTCTGAACGCAGGAAGAGCAGCGGTTGCATCTGATTGATGAAGATAAAACATTTCACAAATAATGTTGCTCTGAGGTAAAGTGAGATACTTGTTGAACCCAGCTAACATTAGAAATGCTTTCAGTCCTTTTGAAAATAAAGCAATGGCTTATGATAGAAATAATAAAGTTAGATTTAATTTTTTTATCAACCTCATGTTAAGCTAATGCAAAATAAAAATTTTGGAGAAATAATAAATTGATTAATGATTTTATTTACTGTGCGCAGCAGCGCAATAAATAACAATTTCATTCAATAATGTTTTTTCCAAGGTAAAAATGTATGTTTGTACATATAATATTTATAATATACTTTATTTTAAAGTACTGAGGTTTGACGGTAATGGGTAAAAGCACTTTGAAAAATTTCATTACTGTGCTAAAGAGTTAATTAAATCGATGAAGCTAGAGGTCGAAAAGAATTTTTATATGACCTATATAAATTCTTCACTATGGCAGATGTCTGGAATCTTCGAACAGCTTTTGTGTTTTTTCAGATCTAGACTATATAAGAAATTTCGAAGTTTAACGAGAACATATTACACATTCTTCGGCTCAGCTATTAAAAAAAATTCAGTTCAATCCACACGCCATTAAATGTCAAAAGCGAAAATGCTGAAGACTGTCCATAGCATTCACCTAAAATTCCTACCAAACAAAATGAGAATTAGGAACATGAAAACTGAAGTGCTGCATTCGCCCCTTTCCCTGTTTAAAAATTATAGTAAAACAACAAATATTCAGACTAACTGGAGCTACAGCTCATCCGCATATTCAGGCAATTTCAAATAAGTAGTCTTTTTTTTTATTCCCCTGGTAGCTCGTACCTATTTCATGTAATCCAAACGAAGGTTTTTTTTTTCTCCTGTTGTTGTCACTCACAGTATTTTCAACAAAGATATTTTAGTTATAAAAATCTCCAAACCAAAATACAAAACATTTTTTTCGTCAAAATTATGAAATTTTTATTTGCCTAAACATACAACCTTTTTTTTTTTTTTTAATTTCAATATAGATTTTGAAATATAGTCATTAGAACGTAATAGCATTTTCATCAATTTTTATAAAGGCGTATATGGCCTCGGCCTTCAGTGCCGAATAATGCGGCCTGCCTCGTGCAACCGAAAAATGAAAATTCATGCGAAGCTGAATTTGAAAATCCAAGCTGGTCGGATAATTTTAAATGGACGTCTACTAACTTGAATGAAATCGTAAACCTTTAAGGTCAAAAGCTACTAACAGATACGATATTTCAAAAAACACTCTCTTATAATTTAGTTGTTTTTAATTGACGGTAGACTGGTTTATACCCTTGATAAGTCGATTAATTTGCGATTAATGACAACAGCTACCTTTTCATTACTTAAAAAGTTTTACTTTTGATTCTGGTATTTTTGCGCCTAAAGATTTTTCTTTGCAGATTTTTGTGTACTTAAAGCATAGGAGGTCTTTAAAATACTAAATTAAAATTCTAATTAAAATACTGACAATTTTTTTTCTTTGGTGGTTTTAAATTGAATTTCTGTATCGTTTTGGGGAGGGGGTTTGCGAGATACATATATATATATACGTACATACAGGGTAACGAAAAAAATCCCTTGTGGATCCATTTTAAATACATTTCACAATACATTTTTGGAAAAAATAATTCTTTATTCTGTTTGTACGTACAGCTGTTAGGAGGGGGAGGGGGAAACGCCTAAATGGATTCGAGGGCGGTCAGAATAGATATTTTCGTTGAAATATGATACCCGAAACTGTTCGCGATTACAATACTTTCTTTACTTAGTACAAGAAAGTAAAAAGATGTGCTTATTAAGTAATTACTCAGTGTTATAAGCACTCATAAGTAATTACTCAGTGTTATACGTTATTATTACTTGCAGTGTAGGCCGAAATAGGAACAAATGGGGAAACATTTTGGTCGTTTGAATTTTTGGGGCAATTCCTTGTCAAATCCGTTTTAATTTTTAATCAAAATAACGTTTCATGTTTCGAGCAGTAAAATGTTATACCTTTCGAACCTTTTGCTTTACAGTATACTTAAATAATGTTTAGCGGCAATTTAACATGAAAAGAATTTTTTTTCGAATCATTTAGTTCATTTCTACAAAGCAACAATGCCCTTTATTTTTGCCTTTTTTTCCGTTGTTTCATTTTATTTCTCTTATATCAGAGTTACTAAAACTTTATATAAATACATATCTGAAGCACTAAAGTAACCATAAAAATGCAGAGAGCAGTTTTAAATTTAGAAACGTAATTTTACTTTTGAGGCTGATAGACAATAAATCTTAAGATATACATTTTCCGAAAAAATGAAAAACGTGCATGATAAATTGCTTAAATAATGAAATGCACATACTAAATTAATGAACTCCGAAGTAGTATACTGAAAAATCATCGTGCGTTTAGGTTAAAATGGAGTAACATTCTACTGTGTTAAAACAATTTATTGATGTAAATCAAACATTTAATATATTCTTTATATACTCAGAGATATCCAAGATGTTCATCCGTTTACAGATGATAATGAAACAATAATTATTCCTTATAAATACAAATATTACAAAAATTCTTGGGCAGCTTTTACATTATGAAGTTATTACTTTTTGTACTAAAGGAATTTGTATTTACATCGAAAATTTACTCGAACTACATTATTTTCACAGTTTTAAGTTAGAAAAGAAACTTTTTATACTTTAATGAATTTTAATACTGTGCCTTAAAAGCCATAGCAATATTTATTCTACTCGCATCAAAAGGGATGCTGACCTATAATTACCAATTCTGGGTTAATTCCTCGTCATTTAAAAATTGTAATTATTCCAATTGTATTATGCGTAAGTAAATATTAATTACGTGGCTTTTAAAAGAGCGGGCAACACACAACGGCATTTGAGGAATATTGCCGAACAGCCGACAGGTGCTTAGCTTATGCCAAAACTGGATATCATCGGTGATTGTAATCTAGAATTTCGCCTAGGTGACTCCTATAAGTACTTTTTTAATGTGTATAATTAACGCTTGTCCGTTAATGTGTCGCTATTTGACAAACACTTAAGCTAGTCTCTGGATGCATTGATTCATTCAAGTTCATATCTCCTTAAAAATAAATGATTTAGTGTATTGTTTTATATTTATATCACCAGAAAACTTAAAACGGTAAATAACTTGATAAAAAGCTTCGAAGAGCAAGCTATCAGAATAGCTACAGTTCTACTGTACATTAATTGATAGCTCTAAAGTTGGCACTCAGTTAACCTTCTGTAACATGTTAACAAAAGTATGTTACATTATTATTTGTATTAATTTAACAGCAAACTTTGTATTAAAAGAAATATTCTCGTAAGCCCAAGAAAAAAGGAATTAGAATTTTTTTCATAAAACTTTTACTGCATATTTATGAATATTTTATTTGAGCAATTACAAAATTATAGTAGTACTATTCCTCAGATTTAGACCAAGTAGTTGCGAAGGTGAACGTCATTGCAAGTTTAAAGCGGAAAATGAGATTATTTTATTACAATCAGGAAGGTTATTCGCCGTTAGGCTTCTTTTAACTTAAAACGTCCAAAAAATTGGTGACACATTTTTTTTAAAACTTTAGCCAATTTTTATTGGTTAAGAACGTAATAAAAAATTTGGTTCTTATACGGAATAATTACCAACTGGATGTAGTCAAAGAAGACATAATTTTTGGCAGAAACAAACATTTCTACTACTCAGCATTACTTTTAAATTAGTGCAACATTAAAATTCAGTAGATACACGTTTCAAATAAAAACACAATCCCTAAAAGTAATTGAGAAAATAACAGTAAATCAGAAAAAAGCAGTACTTTTGGCAACATTAGTTATATAGCATACCGAAAACGAAGTAAACCGATCAGTACAAGTTAGTTTTGAAACCAGTAGGGAAATATCAGACTTCATATTCTTCTATTTATAAATTTCGTAGGCGTACAACATGAAGACTATCTCAAAATAACTTAGATATACTTTAGCAGCGAAAATTGTCTCTTGATGTAAGTGCAGTCGTTTGAGGTTTCTACTTCTTGTTGATGTACCTTTATATAAATATATATCTGCCTCACTAAAGTAACCATAAAAATGCAGAGAACAGTTTTAAATTTATAAACGTAATTTTACTTTTGAGGCTGATAGACAATAAATCTTAGGATATACATTTTCCGAAAAAATGAAAAACGTGCGTGATAAATTGCTAAAATAATGAAATGCACATACTAAATTAATGAACTCCGAAGTAGTATACTGAAATCATCGTGCGTTTAGGTTAAAATGGTTTTTAAATCAAACAGTATTCATGAAATAAACGCCTTGAAGATTGGAATTAAATACGAGCAAACCAAATGTAAGATGGAATACATCTTAAACTATTTAAAGTTAAAGATACGTTAACTAATGTAGGGATATTTGCTATAGACATATATACTTACATTTGCGTTTCTTTCTACAAACGATAAATGAAAGATTTATTGTTCAATGAACATGATATACAGGTGTTTTTCTCTAGATATTAGTTGCGAAGTTTGAATTTATTTAATTGCTTGTTATAAGAAAAAGAAAATACCTGGTGTTGCCAGAATTATGTGGGAACTGTCTTTTAACGCTGCAGACGAATACCTTGTTAGGATATCTAATGGGCAATTGTCTGGTGACACATCAAACTAAGCAAATTACCACGAGTTGCCATTGCTGTTCTAAGTTTCATTTCCTCCTCTTCCAATTCATCTAACTTAATTAACAGCTGTAGTTTATCCATGTCTAGTTCAGCTCGACGTATTTCTTCCCATCCTACATGTTTTAAACAGTTTTTCTTAAGATGACCACAGAATTTTCGAGAATGGCTTTCTGAATCCGTTAGATTAAGCAATGGGTATCCACATATTTTATCTGCAGATGTAGATTCTTTGAAGTGCAACGGACAAAGTACGCGCAGCTGCTTGCAATAAACTTTACGTGATACTTTGTGATTGCAGAAGATATTCCAGTGCATGTCATTGGACGGTGAAGTTGTACTAATTAACTGGAGTCGTCTTTCCTTTCGCCTATAGCAGTTTTCCATATGTTTAATTGCTACATTTATTAATATTTCTCTACCACATATTTTGCAATAAATCGTGGAAGTACTACTTTCATCGTCAGAATCTACTGTGATCTCCATATCTGCCAAAGTTTTAGGTTTTTGAATAAAGTTAATGAAATGAGTAATTTTTTCTTCAACTGCTTCTAAATCACTTTCAATAGAGCGCTTCTTTTTGCGTATTTCGACCAGCTGTCTTCTATTTAGTTCATCAGCAGAGCTTGGTATTATTTTCCACTGTTCAATTCGCTGAGGAAGAATGGTTAGAATTCGGTTGGTGGCCAGTTTCATTCCGCAACTATCGCTGCAATACTTAGAATGCTTTCGTGCACCTTTAACACAACCTGGTCCATAACACTGCATTGACCTGTTATCTGTTGCCATTTGTTTAATTTTTGGAAGGTTGATTTCTTTATCAACTGTTATCATTTCTTTTTGTGATGCTTTTTTGATATTTTCACTAGCAGCCATCTCTGCTGTTCTCTCTATAGTGTTAACGTCATAAATTCTGCTTCCAAAGATCATTGATGAATTAGAATGAGCCCTTAGCATGCTTGATAGTTGGGTAGATTTCATAATTTCAGTACTTAATTCCTTCATATCATCCATTTTCGTTTTTAAAGGCTAATTTAACACTTTTATTTGTGGTTCTTGAATTACGTCGGGTTTGCTTTGGGGTATTCTGAAAACCGAAAGCTATTTTCTTCCTTTGTTTTTAATCTTCCTATTCCGACTGGGCATATTTCAACGTTTAAATCACGTTTATTGCTCCTAGAACTTTTACACTTTTCATCTTTTATAGATGAAATCCGCAACTTGTATGTATCGCTAAATAGTTCATCAGTACTTTCTCAGATTCGCAACAAACTTTCATTATCAGGGAATTACGATTGCAGTGCCATCTGTTGAATGACAAAAATAATGCACTTGTCTTTCATTTCCTGTTTTTGAAAATTCAACCTTTCAACCTTATTAACGTTTTCTTTCAGCGTTCTGATTGGGTGACAGGTTAAGCAGATGTTCTCAGGAAAAAGAAAGTATGTATGTGTGTGGGGGGGGGGAGGATTCATCCAAGGTGCTGCAGTTTAATCCAACGAGATATATACTGTTATATGAAGTCATTGGTTTAATCCCGATAGCCGCGACCATAAGCACAAACACGCATGCACCAGTCGGAGTGATTTATTCACGATGTGCTAGGGTGGATGGAGCGGAAATTACGTACGGCTTTTTCTTCTTTTATTCCTATTTTAATTGCGTTCAAAGAGCGCAGACTTAAGAAGGCAGAAAATCACTTTTAAGCAATCTAATATGCTGATCATCAAGACAGAAAAGAAATACGCCAAAGTAAAACATAAAATTAACAAAACAACAGCTGTATGTAGTCAACCAAATCTACCCCAAAGTTTGTTGCTTTGTTAATTTATATTTATTTTACGCTGATCATTATTTGTAATTGTTTACATTGTATTTAATTTTGCGATTTTATTTATATGCTGGCAAAAATACGAGTTTTTTCATAACGTAATTTTTCTATGTATACATAATTTTATGATAAAGAATTACTATTATTATATAATAATTTTTATTATAACTATTTAATTATATTTTATTGTATAATTTTCATTGATATATTATTTCAATGAGTTCAAACATAATTTTTATAATAATTTTATGATAAGAAATAACTGTTATAATCATATTACAATTGTCATATATTTTTGTGTTCACCAGCGGCCGAGCGGTAAAGTCGCTGAACACTGGTAGTTCGGTCCGAGGTTCGAATCCCGCGAACAGGCTGCCTGCATGGGTGTTTTCGTGGTTTTCTCCATGTGTAACGTGTATACGAGCCAGTTTCCCTTAGAAAGTCCTCCACGAAGGCATTCCTCCCCTTAGGCAGATAGCCCTAGTGTGCTTTGCCGTAATTAAATACACCACACCATCATATATTTTTGTTTATCTTTGAGCTAAAATGTATGTACACTGCGAAAAAAAGGGGGGGGACAGTTCTATATCTCCCGTTTTACTGGGCCAATTGACGAAATTCAAATTGCGTTTCTCATGTCCCGAAAGCGCGACTTAGGCTATATATTAGATGTATGTATAATCATTGTTCTTATATAGGTATTTTGACTCGAAATCGCACTTTTTCTGAAATGATAATCCAATTTTTTCCGTATTTCGATTCTACGACCCAAATTATGCCTAAATATTAAATTTTGTAAAATTTGGTGTGAAATTAACGGAGAAATTTAAAAATTTATCTTGGCGCATTTTTTTCCAGTTTGCGCCAAGAATAATTCTCTTAGCGAACTTCTTAATTTATAGCAATCTATTTTCCCTTTTTTTTTTTTTTTTTTTTTTTTTTTTTTTTTTTTCTCATTGTAACACTAGCGGGAAAAGGGTCATTATCGCTTATAGCGAATAGGCCAAATTTCAAAATGCGCCAATATGTAAATTCATGTCTATCTTAGAAAAGTTTGAATAAAAAACTAATTTTTTGCAAGTGTGACAAAAAATACATCTACTTTAAGATAATGTTAAAAATTTTAGTTATAATACAAAAATGTTTTTGAAAAATTTATAAAAAATGTTTAAAAATACAAATTTAAAAAATAAATCATAAAAAAATGTACGAATCATATTTGGATTAAGCTTAAATTTTGAATTCTGTAAGAAGGAATCAAGTAAATGTAATAAAAAAAGAGTTATTAATAAATATACACTATTTAAAAGTGAAATTGCAACACCAAGAAAGAATTCGCGTAACGTCATGCAAATTGCAGGAGCGAGAGCTGTGAGGTGGATATGCAAATGATAAAAATTATGCACGCATTGGATCACGTGCTACGCATATGCGGGCTTTAAAGTTCAGCCACTTTCCCTTCTCTTAAACAGCATCTGAGGGTTTACGGAGCATTGGAAACTTTAGAAGAAGCATAGAAAATGCCTCTGAGACATCGGCGAGCTCAGTACCATCAGTTAACGACCGGGGAAAGTGACCATATTATCGAAATCCATGATTTTGGTTTGTCGCTGTGCAGAGTAGTCACTCGTGTTGGGCACAACATGAGTACCATCCAACGTTGTGTCACACGATGGATTCAGAAAGGTGTACGTGTACGTCGAAGAGGAAGTGGTACGCACAGGTGCACGTCAGAGCGCACAGACCAGCGTATTCGGCGGTCAACTATTGAAGACCCTTTCTCCACGTCACGTAACATCCGAAGAAGCCGGTTGCCTTTCGGAGCAGGTGGATCTGTGTCCACCCAAACTATACGCAAGAGACTGCATGAAGTACACTTACGTTCACGGGTACCAGCTACAGGGCTACCCCTGACTGCTGAACACAAGACTGGACGCCGTGTCATCGTCATAGTGCGTGGACCATCGAATTACATCGGGTTTTGTTCACGGATGAATCTCTGTCTGTGGAGGAATGACGGCCGTCAACGGATATGGCGGCGACCCGGAGAACGCTACGAAACAGCCCATTTCGCCGAGCGTCATACCGGTCCTGTATCGGAAATTATGGTTTGAGGTGGTATAATGTTTGATCACAAGACGCCCCTGGTACACATTAACGGCAGTTTGACCGCTACGTCATGCAAGTTGTAGAGCCTGCTGTTCTGCCCTGGTTGCAGGACGCCGCCCCCCCCACACGGTATTCCAGCAAGACAATGCCAAGCGGCATGTCTCACGGCATACTCTTAACAGCCTGACCGGATTTGACATCCTACCCCAGCCGGCAGCCGCTCCAGATCTGAATCTCATCGAACACCTGTAGAATGTTATTCAACGTGACATTAACCGAGGACCACGACCGGAAACCCTGAATCTGCGTACAGCAGTAAATGTAGCTTGCAAAGGCTACCTCAGGCAGCCATCAATGAACTCATAGCATGCTCGCCAGATTGCGGCCTGTATCACTGCCCGAGGTAGGCACATTAGGTACTGAATAAATTGGTTTATATTGATTTTATGTGTCTTTTTATTTTAATCATTTGCTTATTGATCTTACAACTCTCGATATTGCGATTTGCATGACGCTACGAGCATTCTTTCTTAGTGTTGCAATTTCACTTTTGAGGAATGTATATCAAATTCAGTTAACACTGAGGAGCTAAAATTTTGCGAGCTAATATTTTAAAAACTACTCCTGCGATTTTTACAAAACTTGGCATTTTGGCATAATTTGAGTTGTAGAATCGAAATATGGAAAAAAAGTTGCATGCCATTTCAGAAAGAGTCCGATTTTGTGTCAAAATACCTATATTACAACAATGCTATATATATAAATTTAATACATATCCTAAGTCGCCCTTTCGAGACATGAAAAACGCAAGTTGAATTTCGTCAATCGGCCCTGTAGAACGAGAGATAATAGATCTATTCCTTTCTTTTTAGCAGTGTACATTAATACACACTGTAAAAAGAAATTTCTTAACAATTAGGTATAATAATTGTACGATAATAAATTATTATTGTAGTTTAATAATAATAATTATCTTATAATATTTTTTCCGCTAAAATGTATGCTTTATTATGCATTCGAGAGAGGGGAAGAAATTTATTTTAGAAAAAGAGAAAAAAACTCTTGCATAAAAAGTCGCAATATTGACAAATGTCACGTTAAATCTACTACAATTAGGGTAGATCCTCCCAGATTGTTGGAAACGGTTAGGGTAGATCCTCCCAGATTGTTGTGTTAACCTATATATATATTTTTTAAAACTGCAGAAAGAATCTGATATATATAAAGAATCTGATATTTGACTTCTGTATAGTTCCCGTATTTTAAATTATCTTGCTTTTAAAAGTAAGCAATGAAATATACACTGTTCACGTAAAATTTATGTATTATGGAAAAAATGTCAATCAATATTTTTAGTTTCTAGGGTTGCAAATAAATGTGAATCTTCGAATTTCTGCTACGGATATGAAACAAAGACGCGAAAGACAACTGACGATCGGATCACCCGATGACCAGGAACTTTCCGTTATTCGGTAGTAAATTCTCTTTACGGCTAACTCTCATGTGAGCCTCTACCCCTGCGGCACGTATAATTAACATCTCATCTGGACGATTCTAAATGTTTCGCAGAATGTCAGCAAGGTTGCGTTTGCCATGATCGAACTATAACAAACAATGTGTAATTTCCTAACTTGAATATCTGAAATTTTTTGCAGTGATGCCATTCCATTTGTTTAAAATATTGCTTATGCTTGGAACTGAAATATCTGTCTCTCTCTCTTTCTGTGAATTATAAATTCTATACTAGCATTCTGTTATTCGCTATCAAAAATCAATTTTATTTATTATTTTTATTTTCAAATGTATTTTAAGTGAAAATTTTATGAACATTTCTTAGCATGTACGCAAAATTTATTAAACTTTCTAAATATTTTTGAGTTATAACCAAAATGCAGTCGTTAGTGCCTATGCCAGATTTTTAATGTAATAAAAATTTTGTTTGAGTTAATATTAAATAATTGAATATTAATAATATTAAATAATTTTGTTTGAGTTAATATTAAATAATGTGAATTTGACATACGGGTAATTTAATTTTTTTAATGCGTTTTGTTTCGTACGCATTATTTTCTGC